GCAGCAGCAGCAGCAGCAGCAGCAGACGCTCTCTCTCTCTCTCTGTTCTCTCTCTCTCTCTCTCTCTCTCTGTCTTTCCTCCCAACATTGGCAAGAACGGCCACCTCAAAGGTGGCTCGGAGTAGACGGTGCCTGACTTTGCAGGCGTCAGCTTCAACCAGAGCGACTCGATGTCTCTGGTCGGCTGGGACTCGCGCCGCCCTGGCTGCAACTCCAGCCAAGGAGTCCACAAAAATGTTCCCATCGACCATCCATCGTGGGACATCGTCTGAAATTATCTTGGTTACCTCCTGGTCGAGATGATAAGCAACCTTCAGGACACAACTCTCTTCGGAGTCCCTGGCTCTGGTGGTGAGGTCTTTACCTACGCGACGCCAAGTGTCGACGTTCGCACCCGCTGGTTGCTCAAAAAGACTGCACCACGAGCCCCTACAGACTTCATCATTGTCGGTAACGAATATGAGCGGGCCTACACAGTGCGGGCGCGGTCGCAAGAAACCATCGCAAAAAACCCAACCCTGAAAACCCGCACGCGAGGTACAGCCGAAGGGAAACCAGGAGTACCCCGAACGCAGCAGCTTCTTAACGGGCGAGGGAAGCCACCGCGCAGCGCGCGGATCGGAGAAACCGAGGGTACCCTGGCGAATGGCACTTGGTTTCTTGATGCGCGCCTCCACTGTAGTCCACCGCATGCCAATCTCGGAAGCGAGAAGCTCGCCTCTTGCCGCGGTCTGCCTTGGGCCCGGAAGCGGGCCGAAAAGAAACTGCACATCTGCACTCGTGCGGAGGAGGGCGGCGTTGGCCACGGCTATAACCCTATCCGACGAAGTCGAGGGCCGTGCTTGCCAGCCCCCCCCCCCCGAGGCGTCTCCACGTACAGCGACAGGTTGATCATTGAGTGCCTACGCTTAGGTCGGGCCTGTCCCCCCACATGGAAGTTTTGGGCGAAAAATTATATATACTCAAAAAATCCACCCAACATGCAAAACAAATAATCAAACAAAAGTCCCCAGACTACTTTTTTACTATTTTTGAATATTCCTCCCGTAGAGGGACATGCCCGACTTAAACCTACGCCGAAACATCCCGGGCCTCGTTCCGCCGCTCCTGGATGGCAAAAACCAACTTTCGTCCTGGCAGAGGGGGATCGACCCGCGTCCGAGCCGCGGCGATGAGCCCCCCCCAACCAAAAGCACAAGTCACTGGAAGACTGGGCCAGCGCCTGCGGAGCTGAGTCGTCGGACTGACGACAGGCAAGGGAAGCAGCTGCCTTGTTACGAACATGTGTCCAGTACCTGTGTGGGCGCCTCAGCCTCAACACATCCCCGCGGGCACCAGCCGCTACATATCTGAGTACCCTGCCTCCTTACTTCTGGTGGCGGGCCAAGCGCCCCCCACCGGCATCGACTCGGCAAGGCGTCTGCCTTGCAGGAGCTGTCCGAGCTGGTAAGGAAATGTCCTCAAGCTGAAGTTGTCGATGCCATCTTGCACGCCTGCGGTCATGCTCCACTGCTGGAGCTGCAGGTCGTGGCCGAAAGCATCGAGCAAGTGTTCTTGGGGGGGGAGGGAGGGGAGGGAGAGAGCGCGGAGAAGGGGGGGAAAGGGGGGAGGGTGGGGGGGGGGACAAGGGGGGGGGAGACGGGAGGGAGAGAGAGAGCCGCCTGCTCCTACACCCCGCTGGCGCCCCTACCTCCGCCCTCCGCGGTGCCTTGGACCACTCCGCCCTCGCCGCCGCGACGGCCCGCCAGATGCCTCTCTTCATGTTGCCCGACTGGTGCTGGTTCCACGCGAGGCCCCTGGCGGCGATGGGGTGGGGGGGGGCCGGGACTGCGCAGAGGGCAGTCTAGAGACCACAGCCGTGCCAGGCCAAAGGCCATCCTGGGCCCTGGCCTGGCAGGACCATTCGGCATCGAATCGGGGAGTCGGGCCCGAACGTGCGTCGCACGGGACTGCTTCGGCACGGAGTCGAACTCGAATCGTTCCCAGATCCGGCGCGCCGGGATGCACAACGGCGCCACGCAAGAATCGAAGTCGAAATTCGAATCGGATCGGCGGAGACTGGACATCGAAACTCGCATCGAAGTCGACACGCAGGGGCGAACATCGAGCCGAAATCGAAGCTCGAAAGGCAGTTGCGCCTGCATGTGTATGCTGCCGCTGGACAGATTCGGAAACGGACCTGATCGAACCCTCCCCTGGCCGAGGCCAAGAGAGGAGGAGGAGGAGGAGGAGGAGGAGGAGGAGGAGGCGGAGGAGGAGGACGAGAAGGATGAGGAGGAGGAGGACGAGGACGAGGAAGGAGGGGAGGAGGAGGAGGAGGAGGAGGAGGAGGAGGACGAGGAGGACAAGGACAGGAGGAGGAGGAGGAGGAGGAGGAGAAAGAGGAGGAGGAGGTAGAGGGGAGGAGGAGGAGGAGGAGGAGGAGTGAGAACGAGGGGAGGAGGGGAGGAGGAGGAGGAGGAGGAGGAGGAGGAGGAGGAGGAGAGAGGAGGCCGAGGAG